ATTGATCAAAAATAAACGTGAATGCATCTCGAGTGATATCGATAAGAAACTGCATCTCGAAAAAAATTTTTCGTTTCAACGAGACGAGAACTAATAAGATCGGATGAGAATAGCTCTCAGAAATTTCTCGTACTGTTTCAATCAATCGAGACGAAGCTTGCATGTCATATCGGTTATTTCGAGAAATACCTTATCTTAGAATAACGAAAAATTCCTCGAAATGCAACACTCCGAAAGAACTATCCTTATTTCTCGTATTCAAGAGAGACCAGAGAGAAGATTCCCATCTCATTTTGACGATTTAGGATGAGGGCTGATCCTTTCGAAATCATTTCAAGATGTAGCTTCGTAATCCATACGATTAAGGACCATCAGTCATCTCGTTTATCTATTAAAAAATCAGCAGATGCAGTTGCGTATCTGGATGCATTAATTGGATTTTGGGCACTAATGGAGTAACAATAAAAATCTAAAAAATGACCAATTTGAAATTTCCATCGAATTTGATCAGCTGAAAAACATTCGTAAGAAAAACGCTTTGAATTGAGAGGATCATCCGTGACAAACTGCTTATCTGCCGCCTAATAAGAACATATTCAGTGTTGATGTTTCGAGCGCACCAACTTCTCCGAATCGTGAGCAGCGTCGTATTCTAACACCTGACTCGTTCCCAGATTTATTCGAAGAAAAAAGCATTACGATCATTTGTCCCGGTGGTGCTGCGGTTTGTTGCTTCTTGTCATTCACCAAATTTCTTTACTTTATCTCTTATTTCTGTCAATTGCTTTTTTAGAGTATTCAGTTAAAACTGATTCTTAAAAGTATTCCAAAATGTCGTATATACACTCATTTTCTTTGAATTTGAGCGATTCATTCGAGAATACGTCCAGAACCTAGTCATAAANCACGATGTCGTATATACACTCATTTTCTTTGAATTTAAGCGATTCATTCGAGAATACGTCCAGAACCTAGTCATAAGAATACTTCTAGGCCATGGAATTCATTTACTATACCAATAAACAACTAGCAAATTAGGAAAAACTAAATAAAACGGTTGGTTGATGAGACTCCGACCAATGAATACTTCATTTGTTTCAATTCATTCTTCACACGATAGAGGCCTAAAGAACGCCATTTCTCGATCTTCATACGAGATGAACCGAAAAATTGCAGCCAAAATTACGAATAAGTCGAAATCTACAAGTGCTGAGGATTCCCGACGGGTCGCTTGCACAGAATAGGCTTGATCCAGGCGATTTTCTATTGAAAGTAGATGGAAAAGAAATCGGAGACAAGAAACAGTTCTATCGAATGATGCAAGACATCGCGAAAGATCCTGACTGTCAAGCTGTAATTGTTAAAACAACATCGATCATCAAACTGTTATCACTTAATGATGACCATGAATTGATCAAACCGTTTCGTTGAAACTCACATATTTCATTATCATCCATAGGCGTTAATTCCTGTGTATGCATATCGTTTGACTGGAAAAGAGCATTTTGTGAGGTGATTCTAGTTAAGATACATGATCATTTCAGCAGTCACCTACTGAAAGCATTCATAATATTTATCGTACTTTTTTATGAGTATAAAATATGAATGTTGGTCTGAATTCAGATAAGAATTGA